TGTCCGCCTATCAGTCTCATTCAAAAGTCCCGGGTCCGAATCCGGGTAACGACCCAAAAATATTTTTTTCTCTAAAATTGTCTCCTTTCACCTTCTTTCCTGCTCTCTAGCAATGTTCTGTCGTCTGTTTTCGTCTCCACTTTTCGCCCCCACCCCCACACCTCCTTTGCCCCCACCTCTGGGCTCCTGACTCTTTCTGCAGCCTTTCTACTGCTACTCCTTGGCTCCTTTTCCTGCAGTCATTCAGCCACACCTCTGATCTTGTGGTACGATCAGGAAAGATCTACACCTAGCCTTCTTAGACAAGGGCGAAAAATCTCGGAGGTCGCGGGTGCAATTTGCGCACGTTAAAGATCCCTTGGTAGTCTGAAATCGATAAGAGTAGACTTCGGCCGCCACCCGGGCAAAATTCAAAATTTCTTACCAACCGAAATATTTAATGTGTCCCGCACGCTCATATGACCTTATATATATATACACAGTTGCGAGCACCGTAAAACACTTACCAAAAAAAAAAAAAAAAAGACATATCCCAAACTGTACTACTGAACAGTAGATGTTATACCATTTATACACAAAACTGCAGACAGTGAAAATAAAAATACAATTTATGTGTGAAGATTAAGATCTCGTTTGTTCTTGTTTGTGTTACTTCTGGTGTTTGTGTGACTACTTTTTTTTAAGGGGGGGGGGGGGTGCGAACTAAAAGACCATACTATATTCACTTTAACAAACCCCACTTTAAGCCACTCAAGACATGGGTTGTCAATTTAGTTTCAGTAAGAGATTTATAACACTTGCAACACAATAACATCATATCAGTGCCAAAGATTAGAAGTGTTACAATAGAGTAACAAACACAAAAAAGAAAGAGGAGAGACAAGAACGATGAAAGAAGGAGCTTTTTTAGTAAGAGTTTTATGGCACTTGCAACACAATAAGGTCATATAAGTGCCGAAGATTAGTTAGAGGTGTTACAAGATAGTTACAAACACAAAAAAAAGAAGGAGGAGAGATCAGGATGATAGATGTTTGGTAGGAAAGAAGGAGCAAACCACACCCCAACATCCGCCAAACACTTGTTGATCAGTGTTAGTGTTAGACAAAACTGAAAAAAGTATAGACATGCACCCATTAGAGTCAAGAGTGATTTGTATACTTTATTGCAGCAACCGTTAATCGCATAATATTAGTCATATAAATAGTCAAACATGATTTATGAGCAATACGAACAGCTAGAATGACACTTATAAAAACGAATCATGGACCATCTCAACAAAAAGTTGAAAAAAAAGACAAGATTACTTCTTTTGTAAATATTCCTGGTTTTCTGGTAAATAACTGATCAAAACATTCTGATAACATCTACAAAATAAAAGCTACAAACCCTCCGCTGATTTTCAAGAGAGAGAAAACATTTTTTCTCATGGAATTTTCAAAACAGGAGCAAATTTTTCATTCCACTCCATGTTTGACAGGTTTCTCCTCTTAAAGGGTTAAAAAATAAAATTCGTTTCTCACAGAGAAAGCAAAGACATCACTAATGACAGACGTCAGATACAGCTGGATTTACTTTTTCTTGTTTGTTAAGTTAGCCATTTCCTCAAACTCATTTACTGGGTTATTCTTCGACATTCTCTGCTTCTCTTCAGTTGCAGTTTTCTTGTCAATATTATCATCATCAACATCATCATTATATTAAAATTGTAATCATAATAATAACTAATAATAATAAATAGCAATTATACCTCCCATTTCCATTTCTTAACAAAATGCTCAATATCATTTACAGTATTACAGTCACAGAGGTATCACATTTGAAAATTACTCGACAGTTGTATACATAGAAAAAAAAAGGGTCACTTTTAAGAACAAGGGGGCTATCCTGAAAAATGTTGTTTTGAGAAAATCGAAGGCAAAGTTTTTGCCCCTTGTTCCGTTTCTTTAAAGGACATCGAGAGTTTTCTCTGTAACCAAACAAATATACACACCAATGACACCAAACTTCTTCTATAGGTAGGGCAATGCCCACTTTTGGTGTAGGTCAAGATTTATGGAAACCCCCCCCCCCCAAAAAAATCTAAGTTTGCCTGCTTGTTCTTAAAAGCGACCAATTTCATTTTCAATAATAAATATATAAGACTGTGGTACTAATTACATGATATCAAGACACTAAAGAAGTAAAAGAAAGAAATTCAAAACATATTAAGCTAATCAAGAAAAATCTTCATCTGTTTGTTTGCGTAAGAAAGTATACTGGACAAACTATGTTGATAAACAAGGACGGTTCAGAACATGAGAGACCACAGAAATAAGAGAGACAAGAGAGACCACAAGGAACAACTGTCTAAGAATGGTTAAAAACACATTCCTTGCTGATAACTTTCTCTTATTCTATTTGTAACACTCAACATTTGTGGAAGTATCATTCCAAAACTAAAGAACAATCAATGAATATTACAAACATTTCTAAAAGTAAACAGAAGTTTAACACCTTGCCTCCATGGGACACCTATCGGCAACGATGTGACATCACACATAGCAACAAAAAATGTTGCAATAATGATCTCTTTTTTGACATGCCCACTTGTTAAAGTTAAAATTCCTTTCAGAATGGTTTCCTTGGCCTTTGAGGGTGAAAATTAGTTTGTATACAAAATCTGGGGTAAACATTTTTTTAAATGTTGAGAAGATCCAGCATGGGTGCTGCTTTACTCTTATGCCATGATGAGAATTCGGGTGATGAATGAGCTAGATTTAATGTGTTTAGTTCCGATTCTAATTCATTTTTTGGTGAACATGCGATCATCACTTTCAATTTTCTCAGTATGCTGAAAATTTCATTATGGTTGGGGTACTTTTGCCGGGATGCAGGTGCAGTACTGATGTAGCCCATCTGCATCCTGGTCCATCGAGATAAGTGTTGTGTGCTTTGCGTGCTGGGTGGGTGGAAAGTGTTAAACAAGTATTGAAAATGTAGGTGTCTATGAGCTTCAAAGGAACGTCATAAAGAGCATAAAGTAGTATCTATTACTATTTTTTTTCAAACATTCAAAGACAAATTTAAGAATGAATAGCAAAATAATGAACATGATTTTTAAAAACATAATGAGTAAGAGCTGGTAATTATCTTTGAAAAATACCCATTCTTCATACCCCATCTTAAAAGAACAATAGAATCACGAAAGTAAATGTATCTCAGCACCATGAACACAAATGACAGTGTATAAAGTATAATCTTCTGTGAAACATTTCCAGTATAAAACTCATAAACAAACCACTTAAACCACAAACAAGTAACAGTTTCAAGGACTACAAAAACAGCATACAAAAAGAGGACATACATTAAAGACAGCATAACATGAAAATAGTATATATGGTACCCTAAGACTAAACCTCTGTTTGCATCATTTGTTTGAGTTGAAGACGAAAAAAGAGATACATTAAAAAGACAAAAGTCATTTAACAGTGGTAAAAAGGAAAGACACAGATTGAAGCAAAAGCAGCAGAAGGACAGCGAAGATGTCGATCTACCACAACTACCAATAGGTGGCCATCATCAATCCAAACTGATGTTGTGAATGTTAAGTTTCACCCCCCCCCCCCAAAAAAAAAAACCCAACATAAGTAATACCACAATAATAGACTAAGCAATAGCTATATGAGTTGGGTTTTTTAATTGGCGAGATTGGGAAAAGAGGTCTATGAGAAAAGGAAAAGAAAATGTAAATAAGATGAAATGAATATCGACAACATAAATACATTTCATCAAATATCTCTCATAAACAAGTAATATGGCCATTTTGGATTTTTCTGAACAAACAGCAAGAGTACCAGGGGGAGAGAAAGACAACTGAGAGACACAGGTATAACTTGTTTGCTAACTATCCATTAAACAAACTTCAAATGATTTGATCAGAAAAGACTTTCATAAATTAGTATTTGAATTGCTTCACCCTATCCGTATGTCACGTTTTACTATCGTATCCATATGACGTGGGGAACTCTAGGCCACCACTTTCAAAGAGGAAATTTACTCATTAATCCGATCCATACGTTCTGTATAGCAGTCTGTCAAAATGATGTTTTGAGAAATACTTAAAGTTTCAAAGAGATCTTTGTACTAGAAGTATTCTAAAATGGGATTAATACAACCCCGGGGGTATAAAATGACCCCAGGGCGTACGGATAGGGTTAACTTTAAGAAAAATATTGAAATTGGAAGAGGACGGAGTACATAGATCTCAGCCTGATAGGGACTGCACTATTTAAAGTCTACATCTTTACTCTAAGTGGACTACTGCAAAGCCGAGAGAGAAATCTTCATTATAATTACAAGAAGCATATTTGACTACATTAATTCATGCTATAGAAAATAGGGTTTTGACACATTTTGAGGAGAAAACAATACATACAAGCATTGTCGAGATAGAGCTAGATAAAATTTCCTTTCAATGTGACACTATTTACATTCATGTAACTAACATTTGTCTTTAGACAACATTCCTGAAATAATACTGAAGTATAGTAGACGAATGTACTGGTACTGAATGCTAACTTTGATGTTGCTGCTATGTGAAAAGAAACGTACAAAACGAGCTTATTGAAGGCATAGAATAAAACAGGAGCCCCCACCACAAAAGGTTTGCACATCACAGTAAGACTTAACAATATTCTCCAGTTCTCAGTAAGCCCACTCCCAATTGTTCGCTTTTGAGCTCAAGGGGGCTATCCCGAAAAATGCTGTTTTGAGAAAATCGAAAGTCAAGTTTTTGGACCCTTGTTCAGTTTCTTTAAAATACAGGGAAGGTTTTCTCTATAACCAAACAAATATACACACCAATGAAACTAAACTTCTGCTGTAGGTAGGGTACTGCCCTCTTTCGGTGTAGGTCAAGATTTCTGGAAACACCCTGAATCTGGGTTAGCCCGTTTGTCCTTAAAAGCAAGCAGTTGCAAGAATGGACACCTCAAGAAGCAGAGTAAAACAAGACAAAGCCTTTTTTTTTTTTACGACTGAGTCACACGCTGAATTTTACATCTTCTTATAAATAAAAAGTAAATTTGCTTTACATTCATCTTCAATAAGGCAGGAAAGAAAACTTTGAAAACTTTCCACAAAAAAAATTGCCTCAGACCCATCAGAAATTCCCCTCCTGGCCTGTATGGCTTGAAGTAAGGAGAATACAAACTGATCTGACAGTAGTTTCAGAATACATTTTGAGGAAGAAAAAATAATTTAAAGATCCTAAAAATGTACAGACAGACTTCCTCCCAATGAGAGGGGAGTAACAAATATCTCCTTTCCTGAACCTTTCTGAGAGAGCCACTCTCGCTACAGATAAACTTTTTCAAAATCACAGCTCATTCATCCTTCAGAGTCCATCAACACAAATCAGACACACCCAAGACCTTTCTTCAAAGCTGTATTTTTACCTTAACTTACATTCATTCATCAGCACAAACAGAAAATTCTCAAACACGTGATAAGTAAGACCACCAGTCTCTTTCTAAATTTCAAAGTGGAATTTTCTCATATTAAATGACAAGCTACATCTGACAATTTGAACACAATTGACGTACTCAGATCAAACAATGCTGATACTATGGCAACACTTTTTCCATCAAGGGGAACAACTGCACTGCGACACATCTCTCCTGGAACTCTCAACTTGGAGAGAAAGGAGAGAGAGGCCGGATCAACAAGGATGTGACAAAATTGATAGCCGTCCTCAGAGTTGTCAAACAGTATCCCTCTTCACCCATCATGTACCTGTGAATTTGAAATAAAGAATTCAAATAAGAAAAGTTTTTGTTTGTTTCTTTGAGTAATGAGAAGCAAATCAAAACTTTAACTGCCACATAGAGCAAGAAAAAAGCAAGATATACAAACATAAACAATAAAGGGTAATTAAAGAATAAGACCTATCAGTGGCACCCTCCAACCACCTACTAGTATGATAGTAAGCAACACATATACGAGTATATAGTTTGCAGTGGTCGTTGCAATGTCTCTCAAAATACAACTTTACGACTTATTTTTAACAAAGTCTCATGTATCATTCATGTTCAATTCTTTATATTGAAAGACACCCTCATGAACATCTCTACCTTCACCCTGAGACAGGATTCCAACTTTAACCTCAGCATCCACCTTCAAACCCAAAGGTCAAAGGTTGAGAACGTGGCATAACTTTTCGACCGATTCTGTCACTTTTAGTCAGCTTGACTCAGCAGCCCACCGGAGCTTCCCGGCTCGCACTCACAAAGTTAATGAACCCTGAAGTGAATTGGCCGGTGTCGGTTAAGAAGTCTGCATTTCTGTCTATGTTTGAAACGATATAACTTCTTCTCCATCCCACACAGCAAACCATTACGCGGATGTACTAAAAGCTCAATGTCTTGAGATTTATTATGCATTAGAACGATTAATTTCTGTGCCTTAGTTTTTGTTCTAGACAAGTGTTTGTAGAGTACCCAATTCATCCTATTTTAGTTACAAACTTATGAATAAATGATTGTATATTCAAAAACAGCACGACAGATCTCTCCAAAATCTGTGTTAAAACTGACTACAGATATCATGTCTTTAACCACGAGAAATCTTAAATCTGTGCAAGTAGTAATAGTCAAGTTATAAGAGCAGAAAGATGCACCTCTGCATTTTTTAACTAAAGACACTTAGCATTAGCTCTTGCATTACCATTAAACAAGAGAAAGTTACTCTGCGTTTGTTCATGAATCATTCTGTGTCTGTGGCAGCCTGTGTACAACTAAGAAAGATATATTATGCGATTTTTATTTTACAAAACTGTGTAAATACAAGGTAGAGATAAACTTTTTGTGTGGAATAAAAATAATGACAACTAACACATTCATTCTTAGTTTTTGTGTCAGAAATATGTGTGGACACTTATGAACGTAAAGAAATCAGAGCATTGTCAGTTATTGCAACACGTCATAGAAACGAAATTAAAATCTGGAAAAGTCTGGTGCTGATTCCGTGTTACTGGAAAGCTAGAAATTATTCTTATAACCAATAACAAGAAGTCATCCCTGTTATTCAGTCTACTTACAAAAACCTAGACTTTGCGTTTTAAGAAAAGTAAGGAATTTCTGAAGTGTAACAGATACTGTTCGTGTATTACATTGTAGATGCATTCTATTATTCTTGCACTAAAATCGATTTGTACTTTTTCATAGAGACCTGCGGGTAATTTTTATAAACTTTCGAGAAAATATGCAAATATTCACGATAATATTTGACACATAAAGTTGTATTTGGAGGAATTACTTCATCGCGAATTGTATGCCAGATGGATAAAGTTGCAAATTAAAGCTTTCTATTTCATGCGCAGATACCATCTTTATTGAGTACTAGCACCAATGTTATGTCGTTCATATTCCAAAAGTTCAACAGTTTTTGTTGTGCCGTTTTTTCTATATAGATTCTTTTTCATACACACTTGTCCAAAAAATGTTACAATTTAGCATTGCCGACTTCAGCGCGTCTAACGAAATAACCAGACACGTTACAATGTCCCCTTTTTTTTAAAGTCTAAAGAGCAGAAATGCGTGCTTTGGGTGCATTAAATAATAATTGCCATAAATACAAGGATACACCTAAAACTTTACGACGAAAAGTCCCAAAAATCAAATCAGCCCAGAGAGCTGACCCCACGACCCCGACATGAAAAGCCCGCCCCCCGCTGAAACTAAAATTCCACTGCCGCTGCTCTGTGAGAAAGATTGAACGGTAATTTCAAGAATTGATCTGGTAATCTGCCCTGAGTTCAAAGAACATTAAATTTGAAGAACCTCATCATAAATAGCTTCATAATGTTGAAAGGGTGTTATTGTTATCCAACACAATGACAAATAACCACAGTTTTCCTGATTATGTCAAAACTTTAAAAGCCCAGCCTGTGTCTGAAAATACTTTTTTAACAGCAAATTGTTGGGTGGAACAAAAAAAACAAACAACAACAGCACTAACAACAACAAAAAGCTGACCCTTCATGGATGAACTCAGTCATTGCATGACATTCAGCGACCAGCTGGGGACACGAACTGTGCACCACCACATAGCTCAGCACTGGAAGCAAGTCATCTGCTCCTCTGGAGGAAAAAAGTTACATGATTTTTTTTACTTCAAGCATATCACACAATAACAGCCATTTAGAGCAGGAATAAAGCAAGACAAACAGAAACAACAGAGAGAAAGAACAGAAGTAGGACCTACCGGTGGGGCCCTCAAACTACAAACACGTCTTGGTGAGCACAGTTGATAATATAATAAAGCAATAAATAATAGCACGGAATGGAGAGACAGCTGGCAACAGCAGGAATACATTAATAATAATAATGGATTGCATTTATATAGCCCATATCCACTTATGCAATGCTCTATGCGCTTTACATGATACATATTATGGATTTACAAATCAATTTTAAAGGTACATAGTGTTACATACTCATGCAAACACATATTCACTCACGCACGCACCACACACACATACATACACACATACATACATACGCACATCTGCACATACATACTCACAACGATCTACAGCTTGGATGCATTCTGTCTAATCGAAATATGATGAAAATAGAAATGATTTTAGTTTCTTCTTAAAAATTTCAAGATTTTCTGCTTCTCTGATAGTTTTTGGAAGCCTATTCCAAACAAGCGGGGCAAAATATGAAAAAGAGCGTTGGCCATATGATTTGTAATTTATTTTAGGCTTAACAAGGGTTGTTTTGTCACTTGATGATCTGAGCGTTCTAGGAGGCACATAGGGTGTTAAAAGCTGTTTTAGATAGTCCGGTGATAAATCATTCAAGCACTTGTAGCAAGTTAAACACATTCTACACCTTTAAACTACAGTGGGGTCAGCTTTAACCAAAATCAGTGAGACCGACTGATTTTCTTTGGTATAGCTGATTTTTCAGTTTAGAGAGGTTGCTCAAATAGAAGACAAGTAAAATACAGGATTTTACTTTCTTTCAGTTTACCACTGTTTTCGAATTAATAGTGCCGTTTAAATGGACTCCACTGTACATAAATTTGTTATCATCATAATTTGATAAAGAGCAGTTTGAACATGCATTATGGGTAAATGTAAAAGTAGTTCTCTTAAATGGAAAGGATTCATTAGATCCACACATCCTCTTTCGAGAAACAGCCACCCAAGTAAAAGGAGCAACAGTAAACAGTCCCAAAATCAACATGAAAGGAGAAGATTCTTCTAAGTTCTGTGCACCTTCAGTCCGATATATGTTAATACTGACTAAAGTTTTTTTGTTTTTTTAAAATGTTCTACTGGTAAAAACTACCACCTAAAGCTTATGTCCTCATGGGTCTACATTAACTCTCAGCAGTTCACCGAAAGGAAAATCGTACGAATTCGTACGATGAGCATCGGGTGTAGATCTAACGGCAGAAATCCATTCCTTTTTACATTTTGATGCTTCTAATACCTTTTTTATCATAAAAAAGGGTTGAATCTATATATTTTTCATAAAAATAATCATAATTTATAAAATATTGTAAAAATTTGGTGCACGGAAAATCAGCGTTTGTTTACGTTCTCTCCGCCGCCATTTTGGATTTTGGGAGAAGGCCAGCTGTGAAGTTTCTACACTAAAAATCGGAAAAAAGCGTAAAAATGTCGTCAGATGAGTCTGATATTGACCTGAATGACTCAATGGATGAAGAATCTGATGTCTGGGTACCAGAATCGGACGATGAGGGTCCCGAGGACGGAAACCAAGCCCCGACTTTGACCAATCGTGATCAAAACAACAGGTTAGTGTTTTGTTTACATCCTGCCTCTGCACAAGAAAGCCTATAAAATGTATTCTAGTGGGTTTAGGCCACTGGTATTGTTACTTCAAGCTTACAGAATAGTTATTTGTGGTAACCTGAAGTTGTGAAAGCATGGTTTGCCTCTAAAAAAATTTTATTAACTTTTTTTATGTGCCTAGCTACGGTTGTCATGTTATTGTTTACACAGCAATTCCTCAAACAGGAAGTTTGTTTTTGTTTACACCTCACCCGTGTACAGTAGCCTTATTCCCTGCTAAGATTTTATCATTGTGATAATATGATGATAATGACAGAACAGCTTTGTTCAAGGTCTGCCTCTGTCTAGATCTAGATCTAGATCTAGAAATAAGTGCCTATGACATAGGCCTTATCAACATGTCAACTTCGACTCCGCCGATAGCGTCCTAATCCTTTGCTTATTTTCTTCCCTCAGAAACTAGCCACAACCTCCACGTAACCAGTCTTACGCGGACCAGGATGATGGCCCACCAGAACCACTGCCTCAGTTTAGGCCTGCCGTGCTGTTGGCCTGCATCTCCCTGACTGTATCACCCGACAGGACATCCGAAGTTTTCTGACGCCAGGTGAGAGCATTATTGCACGGAGTACGAGAAATTTTTATTTTTGTAATTGCTTTCTGTTTGCCCTTACTTCACTCCGACAGGCAGGTGAGTTCACTGATTCACATGTTACACCTGGGGACCTTTGTTATTCATTTGTAGAAAACACTCTTGATGCCATTATGTAGTTAAAACTGATATTACCTTGTGGGCCAGGATTTTCTGACAGTTCGATTGATGTCAGTGTTCCAAGCAGACTATCCTTTCCAAATGACTTATGTAACTTATGTCTTCTTCTTGTCTTCTTATTTCCTCAGCATCCTTCTTCAAACTGTTTTTCTGCACTGAGATGGTGAATCAGATCTGCCTCTTCTCTAATGAGTACGCCCCGATGACAGGACCCAACAAACCATCTGTCTTTCGCTCCTGGGAGGATCTTGACTCTGAGATGTTTCTCAAGTTCGTTGGACTGCTAATGTATATGTCTATTGTTCATCTACCAAATTTAGAGCTGTACTGGTCTACGAAAACCTGTTTTCATGGACTATGGGCAAGGGCATACATGAGCAAACTAAATTTCAAACAAATTCAGTCTTTTTTTAAATTATGCAATCCAGACACTGAGCGAGGTACTGATAAGCTACGGAAAGTTAGGTTTGTGCACTATTTTTTTAGTATGAAATGTATGAAGTATTGGCAACCTAACCAGTGTGTTAGCATAGATGAGAGGATGGTTCAAAATAAGGGGAGATACAGTTTCAGGCAATACATAAAGGATAACTAAATGGGGGATGAAGTTACGGGTGGTTGCAGATTCGATGAATGGGTACACATACAATTATGAAGTTTACACAGGGAAGGATGGGGGCACACTATTGGATATTTTTGTTTCAATAAAAATAGAAACTGTTTGCTTGCAGAGCATACTGTAGAATAGTCTTTTGCCACTTACTACAATTATTGGACAGTTGAGTAGAAAAATGTTTTTTGTTTTAGGAGAGGTTTTACAGCGCTCGCAACTGCAAAAGGTCATATATGAGTGCCAAGGGGTGGATGTCAACAGAGAAGTCCTTACAGGGAATCAGACTTACTCTGCTCTCCTCTCTAGCTTCAACAGCACAAAGTCTGCTTTGACTATCAAGGCACCCCGGAAATAGTGGGTCACAAGAGTGTGACAAACTTACAAAAGAGGTAGAGGAAAATGACGATACTAAGGATTAGGAAAGAAAAAGCAGCAGTTCCCTGTTGTAGTTCAGGCACAGTTATGAGCATGACATTGTTGGATCAGCCCATTTACAATTCTATTGTGCATTAGAATGAGAAATGTCCCCCCTTTTGGAATGCCTAAAGACACTTCAGTCAGTGGCACCGCTGTGGGGAGGGGGAGTAGAATGTTTTTCCGTCATGGACCACAATGATGTAAAGTACCGTACTACAATATTTTTGTCTATTTTTCCATGAAAATCTCTGTTGGTATTGGTATTTTGTATGAATACAGTGTGTTCTTGTCATTTTGAAATATTTGGTATTGCCTTGTCTGTTTTGAGTGCAATTTTGTGGATGGAAATTGACTGGAAAGTCATTGATGTTTATTTTTTCTATGTCGCGTCGTTATATCATCGCGAAACATGATAAATGTATCTTTTGTCAAAAACCTTGTAACTTTTTTATCCTTTTTTCAATATGCATGAAATTTGGACACACATTGCAAAATTGGAAGTGCTTTTACTCCATAATAAACTTTTTGGGGTATCTTAGAACACTTTTTTTTTTCTTTCTTTGTGACTGTTACATGTTGGGAAATTTTATCTTTTTTTCCCCTGTCCCTCCCTCTAATAACAGAGCACTACATAGACAACAGTGGTCATATCATGATGAAATTACCTTCATTTGATAGGAAATTCAATTTCCTTTCCAATGGTATATAATTTGACATACTTTCTGTGGTATTTTATATTCTATGGTAAATCATACTAACCATGGGTGCCGTGAAGGCGAAAATGGTCAAAATACCAAGAACTGCTGAGAGTTAAAATATTGATTCCGGTACATGACATTTAAAACACCAAAATTATGTTTTATGTTCAAACCAACACCTGTTTCGCGGGTTGTACAGATTCATTCTTAACTAGACGAAGGGAAATCGAAGACGTTACCAACTTACGTCATCTCGGGCCGTTATAAAACATGTGGGCCCTAGATTTTGCAAAGAATATGTGAGCGTGCCTGGTGTAAGGTACCAAAAGACGCATTTGTTCGAACCGAGATATCAGGCTTCAAAGGTCAAAAATAGAATTTTTGACAAAAACTAAGTTCCATTAAAAATTGATTTTTAAGCCATTAAAATATCGATATTTACAAGGACTTGGGTTTCTTTTACTATAAAATCAATTTTAAAGATGCTTTATTACACGAGGTATATTGCATAATCCCAAAAAATGTGTGATTGGTTTTCCGAGTACACATTGCGGACGGTTTCTCTTGTCCATTCATAAAGTCGATCCAATCACATTGCATACCTAAATTTAGGTTATTCTCTCCTCTTTCTAATGGCGGGTAGTGCGCATGAATATCTAGAACGTGTAAACAAAGCGAAGCTTTGCGCATCCACACCTTTCCTTTTTATTTGGAGAGCAAATTGCATTGCATATTTTTTCCCTGCGCAAACCAAGATCTAATTTCTTGAAAATTCTTGCTCAAGGTGGTGGCGAATTTGTTTTGAAGACGCTATAAAAACATTTTGAAGCTGTTCTTTTATCTTAGTTACTTTTTAAAGTTGGTTTGTGAGTAGCGATTGTGTAGTCAGGTCATCTCTAAGCGTAGATCTATCTATTTGAAGCAAAAACAAAGGGGGAACTTCAAAGCCGTTTTTCTTAAAACTTTGTTTCCTTACCCTGCCTTACAAAATCACCCATATCTCAAAAACTACTGAAGATATCTTAAACATTCAAACAAAAAGTATATTGTTCAGAAATGATCCCTTTACATGAAAATGCAAAAAAACGGGACTCTTCAAAATGCACCATTTGATACCTTTCACCAGGCACGCACACATATTTGGACAATAAGCATACTACAAAGAATGTTATTCTCTTTCAAGAGTCATTCCGGATGTAAATTGCAATCTATATATTATGTACTTATTTCTTTAAAAATTATGTATAAACTGTGGAAACATAAAAAATATGACTTGGCACCTTGCACAAAACCATAAAATAATAAAATATATACACTGACCTTCACAGATACAATGAACTGCAACAGTCTCATTTCAAGTGTAATGCTAGTTTGTTTCAAAGCATATCAATTGTGTCCATAACGAAACTACTGAGAATAAGCATTAGTCCAACTGACTGTTAGATTTTTAGCTTACTCTGAAACTACAGTGTACTGCCCTTTGCCTTTTCCAGTCGCCATATGCCATTTTATACAAGGGACCCAAACTTACAAAGATGGTGTCTTTTTTCCAGGTTTCTGACTAGAAGCAGATGTGTAGTACTCATCCACGCATTCACAGATCAGCCTGCACACTTTTACTGAAATATAATAACAAATAATAACTAGCATTAGTAAAGCCTGTATCCCTGCTAAGCTGCAAGCTCTGTGTGCTTTACAATCTACAATATTCCCCCCAGAAAACCCCAGGACACTCAGAGACATTCTCAGCTTTCCAGTTGATTAAGCACTCAAACACTAACAAATATGCCATAATAAAGTGTGTAAACTAATTACAAGCAACGTCACCTAAGCATTGCACAGTCTGATGGCTCCACTCATGGTACCCATCTACTCCACCAACACTCTTTTAACTCTTTAACAACGTAGCTGACACATACGTCTGACCAGCAGCAGACTAAAAGCAATGCTATCACACATTTGTGGCACAAGGCGGTGGAATCTGGCTCTCGTCAATTTTGGGGCAAACAGAGTCGATGGTATCATCTTAAGGCCTGTCCATTTTCCTTGTTTTGGGTGAAAATAATATCCACCTATGTTGAATGGAAGTCGAGATATGTGTGATTTAAGAAGGTGAGGATCAACTGGTTTCAGAAGTTAAATTAATGAGAAAATATCTGAGAAAGTTGAGTAATTTCTTTAGCTTGAGAGTGCATAGACACTGAAAATTTACATTTCTTCTGCATTTAATCAACGTTTTTCAGTAAAAATCCAAACAGAAATGTGCTCTTTAATGGGCATGACAGGTGTTGAACCAAAAAACAAAAATTAGATAAAAATCCCAAACCTGTGGGAAAATGCCAATTTCTTGACTTTCAATATTTTGACGAGAACCTGATTTCACCACGCTGCCTCGCATTTTGAACAATCACCATCAAATCAGAAACAAAAATTTTAGTATTTCATAGCGTGATATTTCAAGTATCTGAGAAAGAAAACAATAGAAAATCTGTATGAATGAGGAAGTTATGCATCTTTTTTAAATTGCCCCAAAACAGTATGTCTTCAAGCGCTGTGTGCTGTGCGCCCTCAGTGAGTTAACATAAACACATCTGACCCACATTACTCACCATATATGTTCAAAGCTTAACCAACACAGCACTTGTTACCTATCACTCACATCATATACTATACATGCAAAATTCAATGTATCCAATACGGTCATCCAATCTTATAGCTACACTGAGCAACAATCAAGCAAACATACTTATCTAGAGAAAGTAGTGCTGACTAACAGTAGAAATAAAACGAAATACTTTAGGTAGTAGACTTTTCTTAAACTCAGAAAAAAAATTTTGTAAATGAAACTGAAACTATACTTCTTTTTTGTACCCTCACTATACTGGAAAAGAGGAAAACTGATAACAGAATTTTCATCGTAAAAACTGCCGACGTTTCCCTGTGTCCTCTAAACAGTTTCTCGGGCAAAGTCCATTGTAACAGCATAACTTCAACATGACAGAAATTTCAGGTTTAACCCCTTGAACCCTGGACCTTGAAGCTTCTTAAATCCCTATTCCCGGACTTCTTGACTATGGTTAGCCTCAAGTGCACTTGCACCGCAAGGATACCAAGAAATATGTGCTCCCGGCTGGTTTACTGGCATAATGGATAAAAAAGGTTAAAATACATAAGTCAAATATCCTGCTCTTTAAAAAAACGTGACAGAGGTACACACCAACACATTCCAGCTTGCTCAGCATAGTGTAGTGCTCTTGCACTCTGACCAGCTCATCAATAGCGCGCTGATATGGCCCCTCCCCACTGCCGCTGTTTGGGAGTCGAAACTTCTTAGCCACTTTCATGTCCTCGGGAGTGACGTCAGCGAAGCGGGTCATGACAGAGGCCAGAATAAGCTCTTGCTTGTGGTTAACCACCCTGAAATAAACGACTAATAGTAATGAGTGACGTACACGACAAGTTTTAGTAAGAGTTTTACGGCACTCGCAACACAATAAAGTCATTTGAGTGCCGAAGATTAGAGGTGTTACAAGCGAGTAACAAACACAAAAAAAGGAGGGGAGATAAAGACGATGGATGTTTGATAGGAAAGAAGGAGCAAACCACACCAGAGCCCCCGTCAACCATCCACACGACAAGTTGTAATGGGTGACGTACACGACAAGTTGTAATGGGTGAGTGGTTTCACAAGTTCATGAATACACATCACCCTCGGCTTATGAATAATTAGTCTAACACACACATAGCGAAATCGGTGGAACACAAAAATTTTTTCCTTATGATGTGGCACCGCTGGGAACGAACTTGTAGGCCCTACCCACCCAGCATGAGATCTAAGTTTAGGTGGAGAGCTCTGCTGCGAGTTCGTTGTTTGGAGAAAACAAACGCATCAGCGAGTTCACACCTTGGTGTGATCCTGATTGGGGCAAACATTCTACTGTTTCATCGTGACTTACAATGCACATATGATCACATTTACGAGGGTGGTTGATCTGTGACAAAACAGGGAGTTCAATGATCTCAAATTTTCACTCTTGGTTGATCAGCTGTGCCTACCCGGGTTTTTATTCTGTCAATATGATCTGAAATACGGGATCTTAGCCGAATGCAGACCTTCAAAGTGAATCAGAGCAGGATCTTAGGGGCGATTTTTGTATAGTAAAAATTCTGTTTTCTTAAAACAGCAGGATCTTAAGCAGTGGCATCTTGTCTTAGGCGGAGACTACAGTATTTTTAAAAATTCAGGACCTGAAAACCTGCTCACTATGCTCTTGTTTCATTGTGTGCGTGTTCACTATGAGTGTGCTAGACTGCTTTCTAAATGCATTTACTGAAAAGAAAAAAAAAACATGACACCTTTAAGTATCCTGCCTTTCCTTTTGAAAAAATTGTACTTCTTTTCTAAACACTTTCAATTTCAACAAAGACAGAAGTTAATTTACCTCTTCAACACCAGAATGTTGTCTAAAAAAATAAATGTAAGCAAAGAACATTAATCTATTCCATTAGATAACAGCATTACTGAGCTTCTATAGCACAAATATTTTTTAATTGTTTTCCAAAAAGACAGAGCTGTTATTAAGAGGGTTTTTTCTCTTTTGTTGTTGAGTGTCACTGTGCACCATACTGTATTAATGATGATTTAATTCAAGTCATCAATAAAAAGAAAGTCAACAGGAGACATGAAAAAAGCCCCGATGGTTACTGATAGGACTTAAACTGCCAGACTTTTACAGCTCTTGATAAATAATTTTATTCCAGGTGACATACCCGCCTTCTCACTCAATCTTTCCATCAAGTTTCATGTCTTTTTGCTAATGACTCTTTTTATTTTTGGTGGAAAACACCATAAACCCTTAAACTCAAAACAGCAGCAGGGGGTTCTGTGAGTTAATACTGCCCATACCTAAACATTCTCAGAAGAGTTTTCCAAATCGGTTTAAAAAACGGCTCTTCAAGGGAAACTGCACACTGGTCTCTTCCTACAGGCGTGTCCAGTGGCTCGTAGGCTATGGTCATCATCACCAACAGTTTGTCTGCCAGAAATATACACTGTGTTATGTCATAAGGGTAGTCACAAAAGACAAATGATATCTTTATTGCCTTACACTTTTAGACACATTCAAATGATAATATATAAGCACACATACAAATGCACACTCATACACTAACAATACACACACATACACACACTAGTGCGCACACACACATGCATGCACGCACACACACATCAGTGGTTTAACACAGTATAATGATGCCAGTGGCTGATGCAAAAACATCATTGGTTTTTTTTTTGTACTACTCTATAAAACAAGATTCTTATACTTGAAAAGCAAGTACTAATATTTACTGAATTTTCCATATTCCGCAATAGTTGAGTCTTTTGCCGTATTACTGAGAAATTTTTTTAAAAAGGGGAGTATGCCGAATTATATTTATAAAGTGAAAGTCTTTGTACAGAAACTATCAAACAAAACAGGAAATTTCGTATATTGTTGTAAACAAAAATACTGGTTAGCAATTAAACTTTTTTTTAAAGTCACTGCAGAGCACTGCCATTAGATACTAAATAAAAGAAATTTTACAGCACATTATCCTTCTGGCAACAGAATCTACCTCACTGGAATTAAGCAATAAAAAATTCATTTAACAGTTGCAATGAAGGTGTACATATTGTCACATGATATGAGTTCAAGAGTAAAGGCCTCTTAACCGAGTAGTTTCAGTAAAAAGAAGCAAAGCACAATACTAGCCATTTGGTTTTAGCTTTACTTTTGGGAAGAGCTTTATAATGACACTTGTAACACAAATAGTGTCAAATAGTGCCAAAGATTAGAGGTGTTACTAGAGAGTAACATACAAAGATACAAAGAAAAGGAGGAGAGACAAGGATAATAATTCTAACAAATGTTTGATAGGAAAGAAGGAGCAAATCACACCAGAGCGCTCACCAACCACCCAGTCATTTGGTAAAGGGGAAAAAGCAAGAAAGATGCACAGCAGTGGGAAAGAAAAGAAGTAGGAGCGACCAACAGCACCCTCTAATCTCCCACTCCTATGAACAGCAGGATAGACAACAAGAACGCATGGCAACAAGCATAATAACATACCAAGAAAGTTGAGAATGTCATCAGAAATGGACTTCAGGTGGCGTTTGTAAGCATCAACACTGAGCTTGGCAAGTTTTTTTGAAACCACTGGGTCACTTGAGCGATTTACGTTGGCAGGCAGGCTTTGGAAAACAGCAGCATCATTGTCCATAGACAACTGATTAGCCCTGGGCTGATGGCTTTGGCTTCGGTCAAAGCTGGGGGAATGTTTATCTTCCGATTTGCTTTTCACTAGTTTGGGGTCTTGGTTAAAAGTAGTGGTTGGGTTTGAGAGAACCCCTGTGCTCCGCATATCTTTCCTTTTCTCTGCATTACCATCACCACCTAAAGCTGTCTCTTTCTCATTATTGCCTTCCTCATCATCCTCGAATAGATCATCAAAATTCTCTTCATTGTAATTTTCATAGTCTCTAGTCACTTGACGCATGAGAAGCTGAGCTTGTTTTCGCTCCCACGAAAGTTGAGACTCAAGCCTTTCCCCTTTTTCAAGAGCAAGGTGAAGGTCTTTTTTTGTCCTTGATACAGCCGTTTCCACATTGGAAGACGGATCCTCTTTTTCTTTCTCACCGTCTCCAGTTTCTTTAGAATCAAAAACACTCTCATCTGAATCCGACCCGCTATCACAACATTCTTCCACTTCTTTCGCGGAAGCTTTTTCAGCCTGAGTGTTCTCAGAAACATCGCTGTTACTTTTTTGTGTCTCATTATCTTCACCTCCAGCATCTTTTCTCTTCTCTCCTTCAGAACTAGAGGTCCCATTGTCACTAGGTACCTTCTCATCAGGTGACTTTTCTTCCACCAATATTTCATCAGAGTTGTTCACTTTCCCAACACTGTCATCTTCAGTATCACTACTGCACGGAACAGATGACTTTGAAGATGTTTCAGACTTAGATCGAACAGACAGAGGGTCATCCCAACTGACAGGTCCCGAGGCAGCAGCACTTTCGACACTTTGAGATTTACTTTCCTGAACATCATTGTATAACCTATTTTCCACTTCCTCCTCCTTTGCAGACTTATCACTTTGTACTCTATTTTTATCTTTGGACTCTTCATTATTGCTGGCAGCATGTCCTTCAGTATCTTCCACACGTCCTTGGGCTCCCCCTTTACCATCATCTCGAGGTGACGACATTTGTCTAGGGTCTTTCTCATCACTTTTCTTTTCACTTCCCTCTGGTGACATGGACACAGAGGAACCCCGAGAACTTCTCAAATGCTCCTCCATCTCTTCATTGGAAGGCCAAAGATCCTCGCGGAGAGGAACCTGGAATGACAGCACAAACAAATCTCTATGTTTTCTAAGCTTTACACTCTTTTTCCTCAGTTATCTCTATAGCTCTTTATCTCCATGGGGGGTAAACCCACGATGCCGAGGCTTTTTTTTCACTACTAAATCTAAAAATGACGAAAACGTCATTAAACTGGTTATTAAATCAAAACAAGTGAACCAGTTTTGATAGTTCTTCATCTAATGAATGAAATACCAATAAAACAGACCTGTTTTCGGAATTTGCCGAAAAATAATTTGATGTTTAAGTCGTCATAAAGGAATATCACTACACCAGCACAGTGGATCCGACAACGAGCCGATGGGAGCGGCTTGCCGGAGATAAAGAGTTAGAAAGTTGTTTTTAGGCAGAAAAAGATGTACGGTCGAACCTGTGTAAGACGGAATCGCAAGGGAGCCAAACTTTCCATCTTAGACAGGGGAATTTAGGGGGAGATGGAGGTTGGGGGGGGACCAAGGATCGCTTGTCCGATCGGCAAGCAGTGATCAAAACTTAACACCTCTCAATTGCTATCCTGTCTGATAATGACATACGTCAGTCTTACTGATCCTATTACCACCAGTACTTTCCTTTCATAGTATCTTTATTTGACCTATTAAAAACATAAATGTTTGACCATCTCCTTTGCTTCGACCCTTAGCACCACCCACCAATGCCACCCCTCACTGCCATCATTGTAACAACGATTCGAGGAACTCTTTTCTCGGCTGGCCGTACGATCAGGGCGGCAGGAATTGGTCGATCTAATTTCACACCTCTGGCTTCTGGCTACCCAGGAAAGTTTCCGTCATGGCTCGCTACTCGAGCACTCTCACGAGCAGTCGTGAGATTTCACACCCACACTACACTGACCATTTGCATCGTTCAGGGCTCACATGATGGGGTAATATCTACCCCCAAATTGCACCCCTACTCCCCTTCCTCGCCCAGCAGCATGGCCATAGCATTAAATTTAGAGCCGGCGGAAGCAAACTTGCGAGTTTTGTTTCAAATCAGGGCTGGGCGGGCAAAGCATTTTCCGTCTTAGACAGGTGAAACCCTCGGAAGGGAGCGGATTTTTCTTTCCGTTTCCCCATAGGACAGGTTTCCGTTTTATACAGGTAATTAAAGAGGAATATCAAGCGGGGAGTGGGGAGACTCCGTTAAGGCAGGTTTGACCGTATTTTGATGAAAAAATGGGGGGGGGGGGGGGAGTAGAGGTAGGCTACAGGTGATTTATTTTTAAAATTTCTTTTTCAAATTCAGCGAAAAAATGTAATTTCAACAAATACCATAACCTCTAGGGTTAAAAGCTATTGATTAAGTAGTCAAAAAACAGGAAAAGGCAGGATGTTAGACCACAGTTGGGGGAATAACCCATGATTGAGTATAACCTCCCAGTTGAAATCAAAGGGAGTAGCTCTAAAGATAATAATATGAGCACAGAGAGACTCAGAATGCCCAAGAGAAGAATTTCAGGTTGATAAGCAGAAATAAATACTTCAATTATACAGTAATTGTTCAATCCGGTCTCCAAATATTTGAAAATCATTGATCTTTAACTTTATACCCCCTTACTGCTATCACTCAAAGGGAAAATGAACTTACGATAAAAAACTTTTTAACAAACTAAACACGTTTGTTAATCAGCAACCCACACATAGCTTACTAAGAACAACAGGCAAAACTTCATTCTGTACCCTAGGGAAAAGTTTAAGAGAACAATCTACTTACAAACAAAAAGCACTCATCAAAACCTCAACATACACCATACACCTCTTTACTTGCAAATAAAAGAAGACACTTTCACATCCCCTACGAATGAAGACTTCATCCTAAATCCAGTATAAAACTGTTCAGGGCAGCCATCTCACATTCCATTCATCTCTGACACAACAATATCAAAACATACAGACTCAAATTTTTCACTGATCAAACCCAGTCAAAATTACATCGCCCCAACACGAAAAGGTTCACAACTTACCGTTACTAGTTCAAGATCCACATGCTTGTTTGCCACCAACGGGTATAACTTTTCGTAAACTTTAAACTGATATTTCCGCAACAGCTCCGTGATTGGATGGTCAGAGCAGCGCAGCACCTCTTGCACAAGCTGACTGATAAGAACAGCATCCTCTGGGTTCGCTTCTAGTCTTTTGCGCCAGTTGCGTAGCCATTTCTGAGAAACAAGCAAAAAGCGTGCCATTACCAGGTGTAAAAGTTGGTCACAACCATTTTGCCTGGAAACTTTCAAACTCATAGCATCTCAAGGGGCTTTGCCTGAAAAGATAATTGAATAACCCTCGTACTGACTATTTATGCTCGAACTCAAGCAGCGGAGCTAAAAAGACAGACTTTTTTTAGACAGTGGTCAGGTAAACGAAAGAAACCCATACTTCACAAGATCGGTGATAATCCAGACAAGGACGGCCGTCGCAGGCAACATGATGCCGGCTGGCTTTCTCTTGCCAGAATTTCCTGCCACAGCTGGCAAACTTTTACCCATGGCCACTACTACACCCATTCTGCTACACACACAAATTCTTTATCAAATCATCAGCCTTGCTCTTATCCCACCATGAATTTAATCCTCCAGAATGGGATAAAGAAAATAAAATACTAAATGTGAGGGGGAGAACATTAAGAACAGGCAGCCTGTTAGTGTTACTTAAAAGATGGCAAATCAATAGAAATAGTGCCACCCAGCATTACCTCAGACTGACTCTCCCAAACTGAAAAAGCATTCATTAAACGTACCCTTCAAAAGATTTGAACCCATATTCTCTCTTTTGTCAAGTTAAAAACATAACTGCCGAATGAAACACTTTACTTGCTGCCACTTAAAACATGCCATTGTACCCAAGAAAAGTAAAAGCATACGCAAATATCTCACCGCCTCATTCTCATATTCTAGAATTCTCTTGTAAATTTGTCTTTGCTCCTGCTCTTCTTTTGACATTCCCATCGGAGTTGCTTGAGCAAACCTCCTGCAAAATAAAACACAATTTTCTTTGTTAAAAATAGGCACGAACAGGAAAACAAGAGTGTTTTAAAAATAAAAAAGAAAGACACAGTAAAATAGCAGTGAAAGTCAATAACCTGTCATTCACGATTCACAATAGGTCAGAAGGCAACAGACAACCTTATTCTTTCAAACATCTCAAAATTAAAGCGGGAGCTCTCATGGCCTAGAGGTAAGGTGTTGGCCTCTCATTCAAAAGGTCCCGGGTTCGAATCCGGGTAGCGACCGAAAAAAGTTTTTCTCTCAAATTGTCTCTTTTAACCTCCTTTCCTGCTCTCTAGCAATATTCTGTCGTCTGCTTTCGTCTTCTCTTTCTGTCCCCACCCCCTCACCTCCTTTGCCCCCTCTTCTGGGCTCCTGACTCTTTCTGACGCCTTTCTTCTGCTATTCCTTGACTCCTTCTTACAGCTGTCTTTCTGCCACACCCCTGATCTTCTGGTAGGAAAGATCTACACCTAGCCTTCTCGGACAAAGGCGAAAAATCTCGCAGGGCCCGCGTGCAAGTTGCGCACGTTAAAGATCCCCTGGTGGTCTAAAATCGATAAGAGTAGGCTTCAGCTGCCACCCGGGCAAAATTCAAAATTTCCTACCAACTAAAAGTATTAGGTGTGTCCTGCGTGCTCATATGACCTTATGCAGTTGCGAGCGTCGAAAAACACTCTACTATAACAAAAAAATTTAAAGCACAACATGGACAACCCCCATCCATCTGGAATAGAAGCAAATCGAGCTGAAAAGAAAATCTTGAGAGAGGACAAAGCAACTTATAGGTAAAACAAATCAGTAAAGGTCTACTTCAGTGCCCCCCCCCCCCCCCCCCTCCCCTCTTAAAGATTTTAAAGTGAAGTAAAATTGTCTTTTGCGCATGTCACAGCTACCCCTTTGTTGGCCCCACAAAATGCAAAGGTCCAGGAGGTGCATGGTAGGTCAACTAGGGCTGATGTAGACCTTTACCACCAAACCAAAGACATGCAGCATAATATAAACAACCCGCTATACGTTTTATAATATAATAGTATAATTTTAGACTACGGCTAACCATAACAACAATTAAATCCATCAAATCGCAGAGCTCAAAATAATGTACCTTGTTGTAAATATTTTCACTAAAACAATATTGAACAATCAGAAAACTAGCAGCTCTGACCCAGCCTCAGAGTAAAAAAAATAAAGCTTGCTGTTGTCATTGTCAGGATCAGCATGAGTCTATGGGATCCTTCATGAATGACAGGCAGAGCTACTCAATCAATTTTCTTTAAAAAGGAATTGTAACTCATGTCTTTAAAGGAAAGGTGAAGAATTTAATCATTACATCCAAGACCCTAGTTGAACAAAACCTAATTAACTTTAAAAACTCTTAAAAAGTGAAGAAAGAAGCAGATACGAAAAACAGAAAAGTGATTAAATTTCCCAGACACTAGTACAACAAAATCTAAATTGACTTTAAAAACTCAAGTAAACAAAGAAGATCAGACACATAGAAAAGTGATTAAATTTCTGAAACAGACTCCCACAAAAAAAAACCAGTGTAAAGCATGGACTCGGACTGAAATAATGGGTCCTCTAACTCCTGTACAAACAGCTAAACAGTTACACTGTATTTTCACATCGTCACTGAGATCTCAGGAAATCACTTACTTTGCAGCTTCCTCCTCCAACCGTTGATTTCTCGCTTGCATCTTTCGAGCTAGCTGAAATAGAGAGTCACATAATTCAAATATGTACTTGTTTTTTTAGTACACAAACGGACATCAATACATTAATGGGTAGACGTACACCACCGGAAAAATTTTCTCAACGAATGACGAAATTTTAGGTAAATAGGATGTACTAAGGCTGATTTTATTGAATTTTTCAGAAAAATGGGTCTCTGTGGCGGCCATCTTGGATTTTCAAACCAGCTTCTTAGTGCAGAAAAATTCCATAGTAAATATTGAATTATCAGCCTGAAATTTGGCGCACAAGTACAAACCTATATGAACTGGGGATCCATGTGAGGATTTTGACCTATATTTAAAACTAAAAAAGTGAGCCCAAAGTCATTGGACCCCCCAGGGTCAGTTGACGAAATTTTGGGGTACATATTACCAAAAAAATTGAATATTTCCACAAGTTACCAATATTTCCCAATTCCCTCATATAGATAGATCCCCAGAATAGATCTTAAAGCACCTATACGCCAAATTTGAAGCTTCTAGCTTCAGTAGTTTTTTTAAACCCCTTGCACCAAGCATGTGACATATGTCAAAAAGTAGATTTTGAGAAAAACAGAAAAAACAGGGATTTTTTTAAGGATTTTTAGAGCAATTTGCATTTTTCAAACGTCCTTTTAGGTCATATAGGGTGTTTTTTCGACAGTTTCTTCATTGTGACCCAATAGAACAGGTGCCAAAGGACGTTTTTCCGCAAAAAAACAAAAGTTGGATAATTTGAAAAATGTTATCGATATTGCCTGGGACCGCCGACCCGGGTCTTCCCTTAACAGTCGTTAAGTGCTGGCAAAAAGTAATACAGACAAACAGAAACAACATAGCGAAAGAAAAGAGGTAAGGCCTACCAGTGGGACCATCAAACCACCCACTAGTATTAATAGAATTAAAACCAAAAAAAAGAAAACAGTGCAAAACTACAGACCAATGCAAGGCAAAAATCCAAAGATATCAATTACTCATTGATTTAAGATGAAGTATAGAGTTATAATGGTGATCATATTGTTCAAGTAAGTAGCAGGATGACGGAAAAAACAAACACAAAGAAAAATTTACTCAAACAAAAGGAGTCTTAAAACCTATTCATAGCTCTTAAACTGACCTCTTCTTCTTGGGCCTGAGCAATGGCCAAGTTCTCCGCCATTTTCCTTTGGATTGTCAAACTCTGAGAAAAAAAAAAAAACATTTAACGAAAGTCATGTAGAACAGATACAACAAAAGAATACGAGTCCTTAGGGAAAATATTTGCAGCACTTATAATATCAGAACACAGGATTAAAAAGTTGAGAATTGCAACAGAAAAAAGTAATATGTTAAGAGGGAGTAAAGAGGAGGAAGAGGAGGAGATTAAATAAAATTGAGATTTGCTTCAGATTCACCACCACACAATTCCTAAAAATGCCTAAAAATTGCTATCTCAAGAACCCTAACAAAAAAACTTTGATAAATAGCTGTCATAGAAATCAGTCAAGTATTACTTTTCATACACAGTCAAACCCCATTATACCGCCTACCTTGAGACAAGCATGAAGTTGGCAGTACAACGGGGCTAGCGGTATATAACAGGATGGCACTGATTGCGATCTTGACTTGTGGTAGACTGGCAGAGACGAGAGACTGTGGCAAGTCTTGATTCAAATAAAACTAGATCTGTCTTATGCAATTGTGTAGGGGAAAAACGAGTAGCTACCAATTACATGTACAACTGAATTTTACAAAAATTCAAATTGAAAATTTCAGCGCCAGTCCTCACAACAAGAAAGGTTCATGGGCACTGCCAGTCTTTTAATCATCGGGCTGACATCTGGCAATACCAGATGTTTCACTGACATGCCAAAGGAGTGCAGTTCCTTTGAATTTCTCCGAGCGACTTCATTCTAATTTTTACCTTATTTGGGGGGGGGTATTCACCAAAGCCTAAAAATAATTAATAATTGCATTTCCATAATCAGCATAAATCAGGAGCAACTAGAGAAAAAAAAAATGTTAGAAGTAGGCCGCACTCACAGAGATGTGTGGAACAGAGATTACGAAGCAGCTGCCCAGAGGGTGCTGCCTGTAGTCTGTACATCTGGCGGCCAATTTATATGAATCTAATAAGGATCATACAGTTAAGACTGTTTGCAGAAGGCGATGTCAAGGCGCAAATACTATGTTTATACAGGCGTTCCTTTTCGTACATTGGCAAGACTTGGTGATAAATAGGGCTGGCCCTATAACGGGGTTGGCTGTATAATGGTGGGGGTACAGTGAGATTTGACTGCGACCCTTAGCAAAAGATCTGCCTGAAACAACAAATTAAAACTAATGGTATCTCCATATCTCGACAATCATCTTTTTCCAACTAATAAAAATGACCACAAGAAACTCTTCATTGACAACAGCAAATCTTATTTCAAGATGAATCTCTTTTCAACAAATTATAATGCTACTTAAAATATGATTAATTATCAGTGGAAAATTCTTATGCCAAGAAAATGCCCCAGCGCCCTTAATAATTCAGTGTTTATTTTATACAAAATACAAATAGGAAAAAAGGTGCTTACATAGCTGAAAGCATTAAAATCTGAGCGGTTTAATCGGTTCATTCTGGCTTTGTAAGCTGCCATCAAGGACTGGTTCTGCCTTTGGGCAATTTCCATTGGGGTCAGGGATCTTGGTCTGAAGGACATCAGAGAGAGTAAAGTTACATGTCATCCTTCAAACAAGTCAAACTGTTTTTGAAAATCTTTTTCTCACTCTCCACACAAAAAACAAATATTTGTGTTTCTCTACCATGAGCACAATTAGGCTTTACTCTTACTACTGTACATCCAATATACATGTGCGTGTGAATGTTCGTGAAAAGTAGAACTAAAAAAATTAAAAGAGTAAGATGGAGATAAAAATGGATAGCCACAAGATCAGCAAGAGTATGCATGACAATGTTCAATGCATGAGTTTGCAAACAAATTAGCACACAACTTAATCTGAAAGAGCATGGACATTTGTGATAGTAACGAGTTTTGAAATATAATATGAGCAATTTACAGGAATATCACACTATTCTTTTATTCCTCTTGTGTACAAAAAAATACATGTATTACTTTTCAACATTGTTACAGTGTATGAAGCCTTTGACCAAAATGACATGAAAAGAACAAAGTGACGATTCACACCAAAAAAAATCCCTAACACAATTCTACAGCAAAAGTAAATAGTCCACAAACATCAGCTTTCACTGCAACTCTGCAAAAATACAGAATTATTGAGGGGTGGGGGTGGGGGGATGGACAAAAAAAGTACACAAGAACATACATATTAGGTAAAAATGCATTCATTATTTGTGTGTGTTCTGAGATGAAAAGAGACAATACACTACTGAAAAGAAATACTCACTTTGTGGCATGGAAAGAATGAGGATTGTATTCATCTGGTAATGATGGCACTGGACGTCCCAAGCCCCTGTAATTATTATTTGTCTCCTGAGACACCGGGGTCGAAGCTTTCACAGTAGACACTGAGCCTTTGATGGACTCACCAGCTGGGGTGATGGAGGCACCTATTAAAACATAAAATAAAACAGCATTGTGATATGCCACAGTTGCCAGAAAATGGTACTTTAATCACTGCATTACAGATGATATTTTGCAAAAACCAAAAACAGTTAGGTTGAGAAATATAAAATATCTTTTTTTTTAAATATTCTAAACAAGCATTTGTATCAGTAGTAAGGGTTACAAACACATGATTACTTTTCACTATATTTCCTAAAAACATATTTGTCTCTGGAACAAACTATTATTTCACTAAAACATGCGTGTTATATATTACAAGTATAGCCATACTGTATTGTATTTTCACTGAAACATTTCAAATATACAAATTCTAGTTTGGTTCCAAAAAAGACAATGTGAGGTAGGGGTGTGAATAACAATTTGCTCTTTACTCTAAATATCCTACCTGAAAATGCGCATGCGAGTGTCATAAGTCACAAATAGGAAACAGAACAAATGAATGTCCAGTGCCATGTTTCACACTAGAAAAGAAAAAAATACAGAAATCATTCATAGTAAAGCATAAGTATACCACTATCAATTTTTTTTCTTTCTGAGAAAATTGTTTCATACAAGGGAGATATTAATTGATACCTTGAGAAACAGTGCTTCTACTTGGTGTTGGTAGTTTGTGTGGTGATGCTGGAGACTGTGGCTGGGGGAAACTCGTCACAGAAGTAGGCGAGGTCACCGGGGTTGATGCAGAGGAACCAGAAGTGTTCAGATCTGAATAAAGATGCCAGAGACAAAATAAACATGCTTGCTCTTGACAGTACAGCCATAAAATGCACTACAAAAGGAAGAACTTGTGAGAAGACAAGTCAGAACCAAACAAGTAGTTTACTGAATCATTTGTAAGGGTTCTTGACATCTTCATATGTAGAAATATAAAAGTTTTCAAAACCTGTTTGACAGTTATGCAAACCGCCAAAAATGTGGTGATGTCACTGCAAATGAAATGCTAAAATTACTCTTAAAAGATATCATCCTTATATCAGACGGCTTATGTCGTCATAACAGTCCACAGGAAAAGATGAAAATTTTCATCTAAGATGAAAAAAAAAAAGTTGAAGAGAATGCCATTTTGTGTGCATTATTTTTATCAGCACTTATGTCTCATCTTTTTTAGTTAAAGTCTTCTGTCCACAAACATTTTTTTCTAATGCATACCCATTTTTTCCATCAAAGCAACCATTCTGTCTATACACTGTTGGGCCAGTTTGACTTGTCTGGAGGTTTTGCTTGTGACCACCACATCCCCACCTTCAAGAAAATTGAAAGAAAACCAAGTGGAACAAAAATAATCACTGCACTCTTCTAAAGACGATGGGTAAAAAGGAAATGAAAGTAGCAAATTTTACTGGATCACCAAACTAACAATACTAACATAAAGTGCCTAAACCTAACGCCACAACAAGTTCATTTAAAAATATTTTTTAACCATATGATATAAATACTATTTTAAAAAGTGACTGCTGAAATTGAAAAACTACTTTAAAAAAACCTACTCACTCAGCTGATGGTTTTAAATAAGTTAATTAAATCAACTTTACTTGAGAACATCTTAGAAAAGAAAAACAAAATGCCACATAGGAAATAACATGAAAAGGTGGCGTGAAATGACAGGTGATCAAGGTTCATATGTTCATTTATGTATTTCCTTTTTTTTTTTTAAGTCAACCTATGGAGATAACTTTCAATACAATACAATGGAGAGTGGCAGTTATATGTATTAATTAATGTATAATCAAAATTCTTTTGTAAACTTCCGAATCATCTGACCACAGAAGGTAATTATCACTGGGCAGTCAAATTTCAATAACTTAGATAAAGCAAACAATTGATTTAAAGATTATGATACATCCTTGCTATAAACAAAATATATCCCTTGATAAGTTGAGAGTCTCTGAATGACACGTACATAATACTCATTTCCTGTCAAAATCAATTTGAAAAAAGAAACAACAACATAAAAACAATACCAAAACACCTACTTGTTGATCTTATTGCAAGAATGAGATTTGTTGATATGCGATACGTGCAGCCAACATACTTCTTGTAAGCCTCCTGTAATATTCAGGAAAATACCTGCTTAATAAAATCTTATTAGACATAAAAATAAGGGACAAAATACAGTACGCACTAGAAAGCTACGCTCCATACTCATACACCAAGAACAAAATCTTTAATATTCAATCGTGTATTTTGGTACCAGCGTAGGACCATTCAATTTCTGCACAGTTATTACAAACTGAAATTCATGTTACATTGTATGATGTTGTTCCAACCAACAAACAAATTTTCTTTGAACAATGAAAGGTCATATTTAAAGTTTTTAATTTTTAAATGCTATCTTATCAGATTCTCTGATTGCATGAATGAACTCTGAATAATTCTGCATTTAAAACCAAAAGTATGTTAATGCATCACTCCACTTCATACAAACCAATTACCTAAATCAGTAGCATGCTCCTCTTCCTTAATCAAGAAGTTTTTCATTTAAAGAAATATAATCACAATGATGAAGGGAAAAGTGAGGGTAAAGAGAAAAATGGTAAAAATAGCAATGATGATAATGATAATAAAGACAACAACAAAAGCTTCTTCAAAGGGTAAAAATTCCAATGTTCTTAACAAAAGTATTAAATACTAAACTTGACAGTTTAGGAATTTTGCAATCTTTATAATCTTTAAAATCCATCTTAGTGACTGTACATACCTTTTCATTGCCATCATTATCCAGTTTCAGGGCTTCCCCTATTTCCTTCATTAACACTGGCAGTGGAGTCTCCGCCATGGCTCCTTTTAGATGTCAAGCAATTCTGTGATATAATATATATGCATTATATAGTGAAGAAGTATTGACTTAGTTGGAAATTAAAATGTAAATATTCACCGACACATATTTTCAACTTCACCAACCACACTTGTAGCTTGTTAAGTCAACCGAGTTTAAAAAGTTTGTGTTTGTTTTAGAAAGAGTTTTACAGCATTTGAAACACAATTATGTCATATAAGTGCCGAAGATTAGAGGTGTAACAAGAGAGTAATAAATACAAAAAAGAAGAGGGGAGATTAAAGACAATAGGTCTTTGACAGGAAAGAAGAAGCAAACCACACAGAGCGCCCGCCAACCACCAATGATAAAAGTTTGCACTTTTCGCCCACCTACAACAGCAAGAAACATTGCACAGCTTTCAACTAATATTTATAACACATACTATTGATCTTCATTTTGATATTTCTTGACACAAACAGGAAGGCGGAGAATCATTTATTCCTGCACTCAAGCACAAAAACACATGGGCTGACTGACACACACAATACATAAACAGACATACACAAAATCACACATACACACAGCAAAACAATCATTCACATTGACTGACACTACCATAATCAAAGCCGCCATTCCCTTAAGATAACAAACGTATTGTTGCTAACAAAAAAACAACCACTAATAACATCAGTATTTCCTCAAACAGTAGAAACCCTGCAACCAAATTACATTGATAGATAAGCAGCAACGATGGCCTACTTCCATCCAAACTATTCTCCTACACCTACACAAAAAGGCAGTCTGCAGTGATAACAATATAATTGGCCAGTTTATCTCAAACAACTGATCTGATAATGATTTAAAAAATGGCCCACCCATGGGTGATAAATTGGGGAATACCAATCCACGAACTGAAATTTTAATTGTTCTGTCCCTGACCTGAAACCCCCATAAATCTTTAAATTCAAAACCAGAAAACATAAAACAAGGACAGTAATAAAATGACATATTGTAACTGCTCTAGCAAATGGCACATATCGCATTTTTGCTTCTTTTGAGATAAATGGGAAAAACCGTTTAGCTAGACTATCTATCATCTAATAAAGGTAAAACTTGCAAAGTATGTTTCTTTTGTGACTGCCAGCACGTATTTGTTTTGATTTTACCAAAACATAGAATATAGTACAGTGGAACTCGGATTCAACGAGGTGGCCGGGCCTGACCTAAAACCTCGTTGAATCCGAGTGTTCGTTATAGCAAACATGAGATTTGGTGTAGATTATTACAGGCACTGAGCACATAATGTGTAAAGAGAAGTAACAAGTAGTGCCTGAAATGACTGCATATTATGAGCTGTGTAAAAAAAAAAGACCAATTCGTTCAAATGCAGGCCTGTGTCATCTCGATTGTTTGCCAAAAAGTTGTGTTGCTGTGTAGAGCCTAGCACACGGCAACTTTTGATTCCATAGACCAATGCTCAATTCATTTCGTAGATCTACGTCAAAACAAGCTTATATAATAATGATCAGTTGCTGAGGGGGAAAAAAAGACTGTGTGACGTGTTTGTATCTGCGACCTCTGATGCCCTCCCCCCTCCCCGACACAGTCACACGTGTGCAGGCCGCCCATCCGACCCCGACACACGCCAGAGTATACATGTGCGTGTGCCAACAACGCATGTGTTGGTATGAAAAAAGGCCGCTGATTGTTCGCATTCAATCGGCTTAGTGAACAATAGTTCACGATGCAGGTGCAATGGATGGTTTTCGGGAATAGATCAAGTTTGTTCTGGGAGAAAAATGAGCGAAGCCACGCCTGCGGGGGCTGTTCCCCCAGGAAGCGACCTCGTTGAATCCGAGCTTGCTGATTTAAGTGCTCGTTGAATCCGGGTTATTTTTTATTGATTTTAAAGAAGAAAAAATACGGGGAATCTATCTCCTCTTGTTGAATCCGAGTTCTCGTTTAATCCGAGCTCGTTAAATCCGAGTTCCACTGTACCACCAAACAAAATAAAAGACAAGTTGCATTTTGGCACAATTTTGGGTTGCGCCACTCTGCTAGGCAGTGACGAGATGGTTTTAGGGGGTTTTTTTCCTATAAAATAAGAGGTGCAATTCTCTGAACCACAATGTCATTTTTCTTTAAAAATTCATCCCAAAATAAAACATTGAACTAGACTGTACATAAAATTTCAGTTTGCAATACCTAAAGTATTTGCACTTCAGACGAAACAAAAAGGCGCCTTACTGACATTCATGTATTTTAAACCTGAATAATTACTAATGAGACCTGTGTACTCAACAGGTTTAGGTAAATAGGGCCTAACCTAAGTACAGCTAGACTAGCACGCTAGCCGTACTTAATAATGATGGCTAGACTGTCAATAAAATTTTAGTTTGCAATACCTACAGTATTTGTATTTCAGACAAAACCTTTTTTCTGATTGGTCACCGAATTTCATCGAGATCCCACGAAGGACAACGTGGGAACTTCATTTAGAATAGGGAACCCCCCGTCCGTTCGCGGTCCACGCAAATCGCGTCAGCGAGAGGAAATTATGTCTAGCGCTTCGCGGCCCGCTTTAGCATTGCTACATTGGGTACATTAGTATCCACATAAAATCCTGTTGCTGGGGAACCAGGAAAATGCAGGATCTTAATCTAAGGCGAACAGGCTCTTAGCAGACAAACCCGGGGAAGAATCTACAGTGACCCATGTTAAGGCTCACAACTGGTAAAATGGTTTCACTTCACTCTAAAATGAACTGACGTGACCCCTGGGTGGTTTTACATTATGGCGAGCAAAGAGTGGTCAACCTTGATGAACAATCACAGTGGCACGAGGCATGCCATTTACAATTATTTTCTTATCGTGAGTCTCAAGATCTACGCTTATTTGCCCCTCCCCTTTACCTATTCAAAATATATAGCTTTCCATCTCTGATTGAGTTCCCCGTCTTTGTCTTTACGCACCATTATGTTGTGACCACACCAATTAAAGTTCAGTCTCTCTAGCAAATTCGGGAAGAGAAAACTGCCAGGGAAGAGTTAACAGTTCAATGTGATCCAGCCTGGAGCGAACATGTAGGCCCTTCCCGCTACCCACCCAGCTAGTAAAGTAAGTTAAGGTGGGGAGCTCAGATGCGAGTGCAGTGTTTGGGGAAAACAAACGCATCTGTCAATTCACACCTCAGTGTGATCCTGTCAAGGTCACACATTGTACCGTTTCATCAAGTTTTGAATCTACAACGCATGTGATCACATTCACCCGAGTGGCTGATCTTTGATGCGACAGGCAGTTCGTTGATCTCAACTTTTCAATCTTGGTTGATCGGCTGTGCCCGTCTGCGTTTTTGTTCCGTAAAAATTATGATCTGGAATGCGGGATCTTATCCAAATGTACTTTCAGAGTGAAACAGGGTGGAATCTTAGGGTGACTTTTGTATAGGCCTAGCCTAGTAAAAATTTTGTTTTCTTAAAACAGTGGGGTCTTAAGTCTTATAAAGCTAACCGGGAACATAAGCGGAGGTGTCCATTGGGAGGACGGATCTGGAAGGGCGGTTAACTGTTGACTAGATCTCGTCGTGTTTAGTTTTTCGAAGTGGCTATGCGTACAGCCCTCCCGTGTGCATAGCATCGAGGCTATGTGTACAGCCCTCCACTTCACATAAGCTAAGCTTTGTAGGCGACACATAAACTATCAAACCGGACACTACAAGTGGACAAACTTAAACTCTGGAAGCTCGCAGGCCCTTTATAAAGGGTGTGAGCCAGGCTACCCAGGAAGCACACAGGCCCTACCTACTTCAATTGGGAAGCACGCAGCTATAAAGGTCATAGATGCTGACCTTTTTTCAATGGAAAATTTCTGCATTCCTTATAAATGGAAAGGCAGACAGACAGAGGGAAAAGATACTGGACAAGATGACTACATGCATGGCTAGGAGCAGCTAGAACAACAGACACCATTGCTGCAGCACAAGACAGAGTGAAGTGGAGGTCCATGATAGCCCACGCCAGTCGGCAAGGCACCGGAAGATGATGATGATGGAAAATGACGTAGTAAATTACAGGTCAAAGTTATAAATAGTGACCAATGACTTTGCAAGTTATCTTGACCTCGTAGAGCGTCTCTTGGCCAAAGATCGTCAAAATAGTTCACTCAGCCAAAAAGGTGTCCGCGGAAGTCCGCACATTGGTCTAGATGACGCTGCAGTCTTTGTTTTGAAGCTCTCTTTCGTTTCACCAGAAGAAGAATAGGAATAGCACAGTTTATTAATTTCACTTTTATTATATATTTTCACACAAGTAGGGTAACTCTGATCGCAAAGTCCGCACTTTTTCGAAGAGGGCGCCACTGAATATTGAGGACACTTTTTTTAATTGGCTCAATTATAGAGGAGTGAACTATCTTACTATCTTGTTATACACTATCTTTGTCTTGGCCAAGATATCGATCGATAAAATGGCGCGGTCCCGCTAAGCGATTATCAAGGCCGTGAGCATACTTCTTTCTAAATCTCTGAGGGCCGTACAGGAGGGAGGGCAGTACGCATGAGGGCCGTGTACGCATAGCTCATCCTTAGACTTAGAGGGAGGGCCGTACGCATGAGGGCCGTACGCATAGCCACAGGCTTTGTTGTTTTTTGGGAGTTTTTTTAAATATTTATTCATTTGTTATCTTTTATGCTATACTATACACGCACGCACGCGCGCACCCACACAGCCCAAGCAGTTGGCAATGGCGATGAAACCTAGTGACGTAGCCCATCCTGCGCTGAGGCAAAGCAGGCCAACACCACGGTGAGATCTAGTCAACTTGCAAGGGAAGCCCTGGAAGATGACAAAATTAGATGGCGGAAATACGTCATCTATACTTGAATTTGGGCCAATCACAGAGACGTGCTAGATCTAGATCTAGAGATCTAGATTCTAGATCTAGAGGTGCCTGCTGCAGCTAGCTTCATGTCATACAAATATACGAAAACGAGGAGAGGAAAAAAAAAGAACATAAACATCCACCCAACACACACACACTTAAAACTTAGATTACATCTAGATCTAGATCTAGATCTAGATCTAAAATATATAGATCTAGATTAGATCTAGAATCTAGATCTACATTCTAGATCTAGATTAAGATTAAGATCTACTTGACTTAGGCCTACACACTCACACTGATCTAGACTCTATCAAAATCTAGCATTGCATTTGACGTTGATAGAAGAGGCATAGAGGAGGCTAGGATCTAGATCTAGATATCCATAGATCTAGATCAAGATCTATATCATGTAGATCTAGAGTGGGGTCGTGACTCTAGATCTTGTCGGCTAGATCTAGAATCTAGTTCACAAAAGCCTCATGAAGCCATGAAGCCTTCACAAAATTACTTTCTGAACAGTGAACAGTCACAGGCAGCGAGCGGTGGCAGGCAAATTTACACACAACCGAAATAAGCAGCTCGTCTTGTGTTTTACGAGGAATTAAAACCAAACACAACAGTGACAATAGCCTTACCCGACACACTAGGCTACACACCCCAAACCATAGGCCTAGACCAGCCTGCACAGGCCTCTTCTTCTAGTCTCTTGAGCACTGAACTGAGAGAGCGAGCATTGAGCATCGACAAAACCATCAAAACAAACTTGATGTCCAGATCTACAAATAAATGCCCAGAGCCCGGATTTTTCAGTGTAGACATGCCACCAAAACACCTTCGGGCACTCCAATTGTAGGCCTAGATTCTAAAATAGGCCATAGATTTATACAACTTGGAGACAGTTAACTCTGAGTCTATTCTGTAGGTTCATCTGCCCGTGAGTCTTTCACTGGGCCCTAAGCTACTTTCATGTTGATACGACATATGTCACCTGTATGACAATGTAGTCGTGAGTATTATAACTTCAAGTAGATTTAAATGGTCATAACATATTCTCTGATAAAGCAAAGTGTGTCTGTTTTCCCATTTATTGTTAGTGTTGATTGTCATTTGGGTTGGTTCTTTGGTGTTTTCTTTTTTCTTTTTTGTGTTTGTGGGTTCGGAGGGGGGGAGGGGGCGCATTCGATACCTGAGTATGACCCCATCCCATTATATTCCTATA